ACTGGTTGTTAGGCGGTTAGCAGCACAGAACCAGATGAGGAGCTCAATGAAGGTCTCTCTGAAGGGACACCAGGGGAAGAGTCAATCTTGTGACCTTCTTGGGGGAAGCAATAGCACACCCAGAGACTCTGAAGCAGAATTTGTGGGAAACCAAGAAAGGCAAGGCACTGTGTTTTAAGATGAAAATAGAATTCTGTTATAGAACTGCTGTAATGTATTCCAATTGGTCAAAATAAACACATAATATCAAAACAAAACTAAGAAAGGCACAGAGAACTATATTCAATTCTATGTGGTCATAATTCCCTCATTACGGTGGTGGTGTTGTGGTTTTTAAATTGTGTCTTATGTATTGTCTCCATTCTGTCTTAAAAAAAGTGAAGGGACTGTTTCGGTTCCTGGGTAATTTGCAAAACCACAAAGTTCACCTACAAAAATATGTAAGCATGACCTATAATATTACCAGTTTGGGAAACTACAATCACACCATTTTAAACTTCTGAAGTACAGGTTATTTGTGGAATTGCTGCATTTTGAGTGCAGAAGACCTGAAGGGGCACACCCACACCTTTCTGGCATGAAGAAACTTGTACCCGAAGAGTGCAACTGGCCCGAGATGACAGCACTAGCTGGCTGACCTGGAACCCAGGTAACCTGCCTCATCTGATGTCATTTTCTCAATGTCAGTCTATACCCTAGGGCAGTGGAAGTCAAAACTGAAGGTGCATCAGAATCACCGGAGCGCTTGTTAAAAACACTCCGCAGGCTGCACCCCCATGAGCTTCAGAATCAGTAGGGATGGGGTGAGGCCTGAGGATGTGCATGTCTGACCGGTCCCCAGGTGACACTAATGCCACTGGTCTGGGGCCCTACTTTGAGACCCACTCACCCAGGAATTAGGAGTATAGGTTTTGGAATCCAACACAGCTGAGTCCCAGCTTTACTTCTGCCGCTTGTATGACCCTCGAAAAAGCCACCCAAACTCTCTGGACCTCAGTTTCTGACGTCTAAGTTATGAGGAATAAAGGACAAAATGGCCATCAAGCACTAGCCTTGTCAAGGGCCTGGCACATTCTAAAGCAAGTGCTTAATAAAGACCAGCTACACTCTGGCCTGGGACGGGCAGCTCAGTCTGTTAAAGCATCGTCCCAATATGCTGAGGTTGCTGTTTTGATCCCGTCAGGGCACATGCAAGAATCACCCAATGGATGCATAAATAAGTAGAACAGCAAATTGATGTTTCCCTCTCTCTCTCAAAAAAAAAGAAAGTTTTTTTTTTTAAAGACCAGCTATAACCTATAGCAAAGTTTCCTTAATTACTTATTCCTTTTTCCACATACATGAGAATGGCTAAACTTCAAAACACAGACAAGATCAAAGCTTAGCAAAGATGTGAGCAACTGGACATTTATAGCAGCTTAATTTATTGAGCTATTATTCAATAGCCAAAAAAAGCGTAACAGTCCTAATGTCCATCGATGAGCAAAAATATAAACAACCTGGAATGTGTACACAACGGACTACTACTCGGTAATGAAAAAGAACAGTCATGCACACAATGACATGAAATCTCCAGCACATCTGGCTGAGTGAAAAAAGCTGGACACAAAGAATACATACTGAATTATTTCATTTGTATGAACTTCAATAATAGACAAAAGTAATTCACAGTGAAAGAAATCAAACAGCCTTTGCCTTTAGGGGGTGGGGGAAACTGACTGGAAGGGGACATGAGGGAAATTTCTGGGGTTCTATTTCTTGATCTGGGTGAAGCTAACATGACCATATACAATGGTCAAAACTCAGCAAACTATTTACTTAAGAGTGTGTATTTTACTATAGGTAAATATATACTTATGAAGTATACATATATATGTGCTTTATTATATACATAAAATAACATTTACGTAGCCCTGGCTGGTGTGGCTCATTTGGTTGAGCACCATCCCATGCACCAAGAGGTCACTGGCTTGATTCCGGGTCAGGACACATGCCCAGGTTACAGGCTTGATCCCCAGTAAGGAGAGTGCAGGAAGCAACTAATCGATGGTTCTCGCTCGCTCATCAATGTTTCCCTCTCTCCCCCTCTCCCTTCCTCTCTTTCTAAAATCAATAAAAACATTAAAAAAATAACAACATATTAAAAAATAATAGTAGTAACATTCATATAGCATATATATGTAAAAATTTTTAGGCACTTCTCCCTTTAAAATGAATCAATTCCAACCTGGTAGATCCATTTAGCTTGATTCCTTCACAATCCAGTCCTGCTTCATATAATACCATTTGCTACAGACTATTTTGGTCTGTGCATCTTTCCAGAGGCCTGCCATGAAATAGAAACAGCAGAATTTTCTGCCACAAGAAGACCATGACATTTCCATGCAGACAGCACTCACAGTGACCCATGTCCCTGGGAGTGGCTAGCTCAGGGTGCAGACACACAAAGGTAACATTTTCCTTTACCATGTAACAAGTACGAGCCTATCTAATATGATTAAAACACAGTAATGAAGACACAATAAAAGCAAATCTGTCATAATGTAAATAATCTTCTCAATATAAAAGAGGGAACAGAAGACAGGTGAAATGTTTCTAACGCCATGTTTCTGTAATGAAGACGTTAAAGAGCTAACTATGCCCGTGTATTTTTCATCACATGGAATAGTAGCTTTCATTTTGTAGTGGCCTACAGGCCATTCGAGTGTCCCCATCCACATCTTTATTCTGTCCCACTACAAGCAGGACAAGTCGATTTACACACACACCTGCTGGGAACATTCCTGTGCTACACACGGATTGGTTCTGGGTATTATTATTTCATCAAAAGGGAAATAATATAAAACTTGGAGACACTACCATTTACTTCCAACCCAGTGGTGTCTGCTTCCAAACACACTTAATTATCTGACCAACCCTTCCTAAGTTCCATGATGAGGCAGCCCTGGGACAAGGCCTCCAGGATCTTTGATAACTTGTAGAAGAGGTTCAGCCACACTCAGCATCTTAATGAGGATAACAAGCTCCCATACATATCCCAATGGACACCTGGAAGTTCCCCACTATATGGTACCCCTGGCTGGCCTTCCTCCAGCCCTTTCTCCAAAATACCCCTGAACTGAGACTTGTAGCTGCTCCCATCAAATGCTTTCACCGAGTTTACCTCTATAGTTCTGTCATGAAACTCATAACCCAGGTTTCTAACACTAAAAGCTAGACTTAGAAATAAATAACTGCTCAAACTCAATTTAAATATAACAACAATTTTTTATTGAGCACTTACAATGTGCCAGGAACTGTTCTGCATGCTTTCCACTTATTAGCTTATGTAATACCCTCAAGAAAGCCAGTTTACAGATGAGGACACATTCTCTAGTGAGGCCAGGAACTGGCCCTCAAGCAAAACCTGGGGAGATAAGCAATGAATGAAGCACTTTCCCTTTTAATGAACTTACTACCTTGTATGGAAATGAGGCAAGAGATCTAACTCATAGTTTAGCATGAAGAAAAAAGTACAAGGTACACACTTAGGGGACCCCAGAGGAGGAAGGATTTGTTTATCCTGGCTGGTTGCTGGAGGGCTTCTTGGAGGAGGTGTCCAAGGAGAAGATGAAGACATAAATGGAAGAAGCTTTTCCTAACTGTCAGCCCCTCAGCTCCCAAAGCTAAAAGGCCCAGTCTACTCCTCCTGGCCCCCTCCTCTGTTTCATCTGCAACAGGCCAGCTTCCAGAATAGGACCAGCCGGCCCTTTTACCCTTTGCAGCTATTGCCCCTCTAGACCAGCAGGCACTCAGGGATTTCCACCACACTCAACTCTGCCACTTTTTCCAGCACGAGAAACTGCGTCATGGCACTTGGTAGTACCAGGGATTTCCTCAAGGGAATCGAGTCCTGCTCTGTTAGACTGACACAGGGACAACCCCTTGCGTGCACCAACTGAGATGCAAGGGAGTGCCCACCACAAGCAGCCATCAAAGAGGCCATCACTCCTCTACAGGCTTCAGGGAGGAATCAGCCGCCTCACCCCAAAGGTCAGCTCCCCACCTCTACCTCCTCAGTGCTTAAGGCTCTGCAGTCAGGGCTCAAACCCTCGCTCTGGTATCTCTGTGACCTTGGCCAAGTAACTTAACCAGTGTCCACCCCAGCTTCCGCAGCTGTAATTATGGGGTTTGTAAGAACTGCTCTCAGGATTCCTGTGACTCGGGACAAGATAATGCAAGAGAAGCATTTCACAGAGTCTGGCACCTAGTAAGTTAGTAACGAATGGTGGCACCCTTATCATCATGAATGGTGATGGTGACGGTGATGGTGGTGGCAGCTGGGGCTTGATTCCTGTGGGCCCTAAGTGAGAAATACCCCTCCTTTCCCTCCCACATCCCCCCCCTCCCCCAAGCCTGGGGCTGAGCCACACGGTGGAGACACAGGCGTCATCCAGCCGTGGGGTGAATGCAGGATCTTCAGGCGGCTGGCTCAGGAACATCTGGCGCCCCAACCCACCTGGAGGGTTGCGGGGTAAAGAACGATTTTCTAATGGAGGGTGTCCAATAACCATAGACCCTCTCCTCGTTCATACCCATTCTCCAGGTCTGGCCACTGACAAGTGGCAAAAGAACGGTGCACAGCGCCCGCCGCAAGGCTCCCCCAAGCAGCCAGGAGAGCCTCCACTTGCCCCAGCCTCAGGTCCCCAGTGTCCTCCAGGCGCCGGCGAAGCTGCGCTGCACTCGGCGGCCGAGAGAACAGGTTGGCAAACAGGCCTGGGAACAGTGCCCCCCGCCCCCCACTCCCCGGCGCAAATCCGACCCCCCTCTTCCCAATGCAGGTGAGCAAACAACCTGGAATCTCAATACAACTTTGTGTGTTTCACCACGACAGGGCGCACGGCCTCAATCTCCCCTCGGGGGACAAAGCGGGAAATCGAGGTGCCCGGGGGGAGGGGAGGGGGGCCTCCGCAGGCCGCTCCCCTCCACGGGGAGCCTCGGGGCGGCGCGTCCCGTCTTACCTTGTCTGACGGCTTTGAAGGTGACGGCCTCCTTGCAGCTGTCGATGACGCCCAGCACGTCGTAGCGGGGCAAGCCGGACACCCGGACCCCCTGCACCTCCAGGAGCAGCTCGCCTGCGCCCAGCCGCGGGCCCTCGCCGCCGCCGGGGAGCTCCGCCGCCACCGCTCCGACGTACGGAAACTCCCCGTTCTCCGCGCCTCCCAGCACCGTCACCCCCAGCTCACCCTGGGGTCCCCGCTTCACGGTGCATTCGTGAACCCTGCTAGTCCAGTGGTTCTTCTTCTGGATCACTTTCGACATGACGAGTCTCCCCCCTCCTCCCCCCCAAATGAAAATAATAAAATGAGAGACAGGTGCCCCCCACAGCACAGCCCCCGAGCCCCCGCTGGTTCATAGGAGAGCCGTCGCCCCGCCGAACAGCGCCGCGGGAGAGCCGCTCGCAGCCCCGCGCCCGCACGCTCCCGCGCACTCAAGCCATCACGAAACAAACTTTCCGGGCTTCCCCGCGAGCCCCGCGCCGGCGCCCGCGAGCTTTGTTTGCATTCCGGTGCTGCTCGGTCCACGTTCCGGCGCCCGGCCGTGCTCCCCGGGACCAGAGTCCACTCTGCGCCGCTCGGGTTATTTTTTTCCTTCCTTCCTCTCTTTCTGGCCTCTTGGAAATGCGGAGTCTGCTCTCTGCCTCCCGCCCGGCTCTCCTTTCCTCGCGGGCGGGCTGCTCCGGAGGGTGAGCGAAGCCCTTGCGGCCAGTTGCCGGGAGCCCGGGCGACGCCGTCGCGGAGCGGGGGCCGGGAGCGGGGGCGG